CAGATTGCAACAAGCCACTCTCTGGACTTCCTAATAATTTGTGATGCATGCAGCATGACTATCCAACCTCCGCACCAGTTCCATGATTCAACTATCATACATACCAAGACAACCTTGCATTTTTAAAAGTTTGAAATGATTTTTTCCTCATGCTTTTGTTTTGTAATTAATTAAAACACTTTTTAATGTGTTTTAGGTTTAGAATTAATTGCATCATTAGCGATGATCAAGATGTCACGAACTTTCTTCTCTCTGACAAGAAAGCTGAGTATTTTTTCAATGCTTCAGCTCATCATTTAGTGTTCAACCAAAAATTCATTGACATACTTATTGTTCCACCTCAAATGATTGAGAAATTAAACAAAACAAAAATATTTCAACTTTGATTTGGAGTCTACAAATCTGTACTCAACAGATGTGAAATATATCTTTGCAACATCTTCGATGACATTGCAATAGAATCATATATTGACCCGACTAGCCCCATTAAAGTTGCTAACACAACAAACCCAATAACCACTAATGCTAGAAGTTCCATACTTATTACCCCTTCAATACCGAACCTTACAAATCACTTGAGTGTCAACTAGTCTCAAATTCAGACTCTAGCTTCACAGTAGCACATCTTTTAGCAAAAAGACACGTTCTATGACAACTGTCATCCCCAGTCAAAAAGAGCATTAATCTTCATTGATGTTAGGCCATACGACAGGTTTGGTTCACTTACTTAAATATAAATAACACTCCATCTATTATGCCATAAATTTCTCATCTTACAATATGCTACTTCAACCATGATAAAGTTTTATTTGTTATTTCCCAATACAAAGATGATGCACCGCTGAAGCACTTAACCCACTGTCGCATTTGCTTCACGTATATTACTTTAACAATTATTGCTTGACAGTTCTGCGAATATATAAATGGTTTTCCTCTTTATTCTTAATATGTTATTCAACATCTAAATGTCATCCTGTGGAATTCATTTCAACCATATCATTGTTTTAATTTATATTTTTTTATTTCAAGATGTTGGGCTAACTGACACACTATCTTATTATTCTATTCATTTCTATGACAGTTATTACTTAAGTGTTCTACTATATGGTTTTGCCTTTCATTGCTATTGTTACATTTGCCATCGTTTAAATACTTCCTTATAATATATAATTCAGCACCCAACTTCCCCAGCTAAGATCCTTAAAAAATTATATAGACTCATCAAATGAACATCTATGTGGAGATGATGTCGGTCCTATACCAGCACTTCCAAAAAAGTAACACCTCTTCATTTCATCAACTGAAAAGGTTTGCATCTACAATATCATTTAGTTCTTTATATTGCTCCATCACCTCTTTGTTTAGCGACAATTACATCTTTATTTCTCATTTTTAATTTATATTTAAGAATATTAGATATTTGTTGCTTTATGAAAAATTTATACCTTATAGTTACACTTATCTTTTGCTATAGGAAAAAAAACTAGCATTCAGTTAATTAATGCTTTCTTATTCGACATCGTAAGCTAATTAAACATCTTCGTCATATGCTTTTTTAAAACAATTTGTCGCTCATTGACATCCACTTCTCCATCTATATATATAAAGTGTCATAACCTAATTTTTGATTTTTTTTATTTACTAAAAAAATTGGTGAAAAAATGATTAAAAAATAAATAAATGAAGAATGAATTAAAATTTGGGTTAATGGCAACATGATTGGAAAGTTTAAATATTTAATTAAACTCTTGACTAGTTTAATTAATTAAATCAAGAGTTTAATTGGAGAATTAATAAATTT